GCACAGCTCCATGAGGAACAGGGCTACTGACCTACCGCTTGGCACAGGGACCATACAATAGTATACCTTGACAGTAATGGGGCCAGATTTGGGCCAGTGCATCGGTAGCATCATCAGCCAGACCAAGCCTCTTGGCCCCACTCGGACCCAACCCGTCTGCGCGCACAGCTCCATGAGGAACAGGGCTACTGACCTACCGCTTGGCACAGGGACCATACAATAGTATACCTTGATGGTAATGGAGCCAGATTTGGACCAGTGCATCAGGAGCATTGTCAGCCAGACCAAGCCTCTTGGCCCCACGCGGACCCAACCCGTCTGCGCGCACAGCTCCATGAGGAACAGGGCTACTAACCTACTGCTTGGCACAGGGACCATATAATCGTATACCTTGATGGTAATGGAGCCAGATTTGGGCCAGCGCATCAGTAGCATTGTCAGCCAGACCAAGCACGTCGGCCCCACTCGGACCTAACCCGTCTGCACGCACAGCTCCATGAGGAACAGGGCTACTGACCTACCACTTGGCACAGGGACCATACAATAGTATACCTTGACGGTAATGGAGCCAGATTTGGGCCAGTGCATTGGTAGCATCATCAGCCAGACCAAGCCTCTCGGCCCCACTCGGACCCAACCTGTCTGCGCGCACAGCTCCATGAGGAACAGGGCTACTGACCTACCGCTTGGCACAGGGACCATACAATAGTATTCCTTGACGGCAATGGAGCCAGATTTGGGCCAGTGCATTGGTAGCATCATCAGCTAGACCAAGCCTCTCGGCCCCACTCGAACCTAACCCGTCTGCACGCACAGCTCCATGAGGAACAGGGCTACTGACCTACTGCTTGGCACAGGGACCACATGATAGTATACCGTGATGGTAATGGAGCCAGACTTGGGCCAGTGCATTCATAGCATCCTCAGGTAGACCAAGCCTCTCGGCCCCACTCGAACCTAACCCGTCTGCACGCACAGCTCCATGAGGAACAGGGCTACTGACCTACCGCTTGGCACAGGGACCACATGATAGTATACCGTGATGGTAATGGAGCCAGACTTGGGCCAGTGCATTCATAGCATCCTCAGGTAGACCAAGCCTCTCGGCCCCACTCGGACCCAACCCGTCTGCGCGCACAGCTCCATGAGGAACAGGGCTACTGACCTGCCGCTTGGCACAGGACCATACAATAGTATTCCTTGACGAGCAATGGAGCCAGATTTGGGCCAGTGCATTGGTAGCATCATCAGCGAGACCAAGCCTCTTGGCCCCACTCGGACCCAACCCGTCTGCGCCCACAGCTCCATGAGGAACAGGGCTACTGACCTACCGCTTGGCACAGGGACCATACAATAGTATACCTTGACGGTAATGGAGCCAGATTTGGGCCAGTGCATCGGTAGCATCATGAGCGAGACCAAGCCTCTTGGCCCCACTCGGACCCAACCCGTCTGCGCGCACAGCTCCATGAGGAACAGGGCTACTGACCTACCGCTTGGCACAGGGATCATAGAATAGTAAACCTTGACGGTAATGGAGCCAGATTTGGGCCAGTGCATTGGTAGCATCATCAGCTAGACCAAGCCTCTCGGCCCCACTCGAACCTAACCCGTCTGCGCGCACAGCTCCATGAGGAACAGGGCTACTAACCTACTGCTTGGCACAGGGACCATAGAATAGTATACCGTGATGGTAATGGAGCCAGATTTGGGCCAGTGCATCAGTAGCATTGTCAGCCAGACCAAGCCTGTCGGCCCCCCTCGGACCTAACCCGTCTGCACGCACAGCTCCATGAGGACCAGGGCTACTGACCTACCGCTTGGCACAGGGACCATACAATAGTATACCTTGACGGTAATGGAGCCAGATTTGGGCCAGTGCATTGGTAGCATCATCAGCCAGACC